TGAAACAAACAGCAAACCAAAAAAATTGAAAAAATAAATAAATAAATAAATAAAACAAATATGCATGGCAGATTGGTAAATGTGACAAACCCTATTACAAGACAATGCACTATTGAGCATAATGACATTACAATTTATTCATAATTGGTAAAATGTATGTATCAAACCCTAACACATTAAATATAACCAGTGTTATTAAGTAACCAGCTGAACTTTAATGGTTGCTGATTTAGGTTGGCATATTTATTTCCTGAAATTGCAATCCTGTAGGAACCGTTGCACGGACGCAGGGTTGTAAGCAAAAATAAACTCATGAACAAACGTTATTATTGAGAGACAAAATTGTAATTTAGATAAAGTTTTCTATTGTACACATAGTGCATGCGTTCTAGAGTAGCTGAAGTGGATTGAAAATGAATTTCAAAATAGGATTTCAATCCAATGTTTTCTCGGATGTCCGTGTCGAATTGTACCCCCCCCCCCCATTTCATTGTCCATCATTAAATGTTTTGACTGTAACAGATTGGAATGACGTAAGCTGCATAGTTCCAACTCTGCCAGTTAATGTTTGTATCATTGTGTGTTTATAAAACTAAATATATAAAATACAATTTTGAATTAAAATGTATTCAGTTACTTTTGGTTAAATTAGTTTCCTATTCTTTTGAAACCAGAAGGTACTATAGCTTTCCTCGTCTTTAAACTTTTCTGTCCATGGTCTTCTATCAGTCAGTCCAACGCAGTACCTTTTTTTCTAGACACTTCTAGATTTGAAATGATAATTCAGTCTGTCGGTTTGTTCGCAAAAATTTTAACATTGCCCATAACTTTTGATTGGTTAGAGCTATGGCTTTCATATTTCACATGTGCATTCCTTGTGACAAGACCTTTATTTGGGTACCATCATATTTGATCTTGACCTTGAAGTTTGACCCAGTTTTGCAAAAATTTACCCAACTTTAACCTTGGCCATAACTTTTGAACAATTGGTGCTAGGTCTTTCACACTTCACATGAGTAATCCTTGTGACAAGACCTTTCTTTGGATACAGACAACTTTGACCTTGACCTAGGAGTTTGACCTACTTTTGAAAAAATTTAACCTTGGCCATAACTTTTGAACGATTGGTGTTTGGGCTTTTATAGTTCACATATGTCAGCCTTGTGACAAGACCTTCCTTTGGATACAAACAACTTTGACCCTTTGACCTTGACCTTGGAGTTTGGAATACTTTTGGAAAACTTTAACCTTGGCAGTAACTTTTGAACAGTTGGAGCTACGGCTTTCATACTTCACATATGTTATCCTTGTTACAAGACCTTCCTTTGGATACCATCAGATTTGACCCTTTGACCTTGACATTGGAGTTTGACCTACTTTTGAAAAACTTTTATCCTTGGCCATAACTTTTGAACGATTGGTGTTTGGGCTTTTATAGTTCACATATGTAATCCTTGTGACAAGACCTTCCTTTGGATGCAAACAACTTTGACCCTTTGACCTTGACCTTGGAGTTTGGAATACTTTTCGAAAACTTTAACCTTGGCCGTAAATTTTGAACGGTTGGAGCTACGGCTTTCATACTTCACATATGTTATCCTTGTTACAAGACCTTCCTTTGGATACCATCAGATTTGACCCTTTGACCTTGACCTTGGAGTTTGATCTACTTTTGGAAAACTTTAACCTTGGACTTAACTTTTGAGCAGTTGGTGCTAGGACTTTCATATTTAATATTTCTATTCCTTGTGACAAGACCTTCCTTTGGATACCAGCAAATATAATCCATTGACCTTGACCTTGGAGTTTGACCTACTTTTGAAAAACTTTAACCTTGGCCATTACGTTTGAACGATTGGTGCTACGGCTTTGGCTTTCATATTTCACATGTGTATTCCTTGTGAGAAGGCCTTTCCTTGGGCACCATTAATTTTGACCATTTGACCTTGATCTTTATGTTTGACTTATTTTTGAAAAACTTTAACCTTTTCCATATCTATTCAATGGTTGCTGCTAGGGTTTACATATTTCATGAGTGTATTCCTCGAGGCAAGACCTTACTCTGGGTACCAACATATTTGGTTTGCTTTTGAGAAAGTTTAACCTTTGCTGTAAGTTTGTTTCACAAACACATATTGTTGAATTATGAATTGTACGTGTATTTTGGACTTTTTTCATGAGAGGTTGGGTTTTTGGTATGCAGATCTATATACTTTAACAAATTACAGACCAAATTAATTCACACTGCATTTCGCTTTAATGATTTTTGACGGACATGCTGTTCCTGAACTTTGATTTACTTTCTTTTCTAGATGCTTGCACGTATTGAGTTGAGTTTTGATATGTGTGGATACCTTGATGAGTTACAGATCAAAGATTGCGTTGTATTCCACATCGGTTGTTTTTGAGGAATTACGGCCCTTGGATTCGTCACTATTAATGGTTTTTAGCTCATCTGATCTGAAAGCTCTTGGCTTTCTGATTGAAAAGTGTCCGTCTGTCGTGTGTTGTTGTAAACTTTTCACATTTTCGACTTCGCGAAGAACCACTGGCTCAATTTCAAGCAAACTTGCCATAAAGTATCCTTGGGTAAAGAGAATTCAATATGGTAAACCGAAGAGCCACGCCCTCTTTTAAGGGGAGATGTTTAAGAATTTGTGAAATTTTGGTGTCATCTTTTAAAAATCTTCTTTACAAGAAACACTGGCCAAGAGAATGTGAAACTTATGTGAAAGCTTCATTTCATAGTGTAGAAGTTTGTTTTATTTTTATGGAAGCATCCTTGGGTCGTTTAGATTCAATTTTTTTTTTTTTTTTTTTTTTTTTTTTTTTTTTTTAAATGACGACCGGGAAGTAGGGTGGGGCTACAATATGTGATCACAGTTTAATATGGGAATATATAGGGAAAACAAAAAAAAACTGCTGAATCAGATGAAAGACAGCATGACCATAGTGACTCATGTGAGTGTTGTGGCCAACGGGCCTCTTGGGAGTTTTTTTCTGTCTGTTTTTAATGGATCGAGACTACACGTACCGGAGTAAAAGAGTCTGGATTACTTATGCAATACTCTCAAAAATGCTTGCTGTATTTAATTTTATCCCCTCAAAAAGAAAAGTATATAAGAGTTTATAGCGAATAATATTCTAGATATCTATAGAATGACTCGTTTATCTGCCTTTAGCATTGACACTATGCTTCTCCTATATAAGGCTTGGAAGAACTGCGAACGATATTATTGTTCTGCCGCCTACCTCCAAGTCAAATTTCAAAAGTTAACATGTTTGAATGATTTTTCATATTTATATAGATATTTATGCAAATTTTCATAAAACATAACTTACGTGGGAAAAACTAAGAGAGATAACTCTTTAATTTTGATAAAAAGTGCGTTTTTCACTATAGAAATCAACGGAAAATATTTTTAAAACACCCTCCCCCCCCCCCCCTTGGAACAAAAATTCCTTTTTATGGGTTGTATGAATTGTTATTTTGTATTTCACAAATTCATACCCAAGCTTTTGTTGTTTCAAGGGAGGAGGGGGGGGGGGCATATGTTTACAGACAAAAAACTGCAAAAATGTTCATTATATTACCAATTTCAAATGTGATTAAAAATAAGATAAGGTCTTTTATCAATCTTTTATGTTGAATTTTACATAAAAGTTTTAAGGATTATTTATCCATTTCCATGCGTTTTTGAAATTCTAGCGATTTTTAAAGCCTGATTTCAATGGGAAAAAATGTAAATAGCAATTAAGTTTTTGACACTGGTTTTAATATTATTAATCAATTCATAATGAACTCTTCTTTGTATTCAATCAAGTTTTTATGGCTGAAATGCCATTTATATTGAATTAAATGGGTGTAAAATGTAGGCGGGATTCTCGAGTTAGCAAAATTTTGTATATAAATTTCATCTGAGTTTAGAAAACGTCTTACAGGTATGGTATAATCTTCTCAGTAATGTTAAGTAGTGTACGATATCATTTAGGATAACCACGAATACTTAAGCTAAAATTTGATTATTTTAACTGTTAAAATCAGAAATGACAACACAATAGAATTTATTAAGTTTTTTTTATTGATTGCTAGTCTGAAATATTACAGAGCAGTTTAAACATAGAGTTTGCAACAAACATATCCAAATTACACTCACAGAGACACGACCATGTACCGGGTACTCACAGCCTATAGTGTTCTCAAGTCATCAGTGCATGACAACTGTAATATAGATACATGTATACACATGCAGGAGCAATAGGTATCCCAATAGTCTCCAATACATTTTGACAAAATAAATCGTTTTGTGTTCTTTGTCTCCCTTATGTATATTTTTGCACAAAACAAACAAGAATATATAAGATTCATCACATCATGGTCACAACATGTTAGTCCTGTAAGAATACTTCAATAAAGAAAAGTACGGTACATAATCCATAATCTATACTGAATGTAGCTTTATTTAAGATGGGATACTTTGTGGCTGGACAGAAGCACAAAATTAATTAGGTATATGTTGTGGAGTAACTTCTACAACAGATGAAAAATGATATGGATAGTAACAAGAACTCAAAACTGAGCTAATTCCACTTTTTACAAAAACAGAAAAGTGATGAGGTGTGACATCATATATGTGTATCTATATTTAATAGAACTAAATTCCTATTTCTTGTGGGCAGAAGAGTATTCTTTATTCTTTTAAAAGTAAAATTTATTTTAAAAAAAGAAAAATTCTGTTCAAACTTCGAAGAAAAAAAATGAATTCAAAACAAAAACTATGCAAAATGTTCCAAAGATTTGTTAAACATGAAAAAAACACACATTCAAAAAGATAAAATAAGGATCAAGAAAAAAAAAAGAATGTAATAGTCTTATTAATATAGGAATCTCAAAGAACTAGAAAACTTAAACATATGATTTTTAATGTCATCATAAATAGTATCAATACAAATATGACTTAAAATTTTCCAAAAAGATATATAAATTAAAATAAATTGCCTTCTAAATAAGATACTCAATAATACAAACAGTATTCTCTAGCACCAAAATAATTCCCTTCTAAATAAACCGATAAAAAAGAAAAAACACTAAAAGAGATATACACCATGTAAATGCCATTTTTGTAATATAGTTTTAATCAGAAGTCTGATGAGACTGTAGCCCTACTGGTTTGCACTTATAAGAGTACAAGAGAAATTCGATATCATTTTGTAGTCTACTGTATACCAAGTTTTATTAAAATCAAACACAAACTGTGGCAGGAGTAGCACTTTGAAAGGTTTGTATTTTAAGTTAACATGGCAACACCAATCTTTAAAAAAAAAACAAATGAGGAAATCATGTATCTTGGTAAAATTTACATGTGTACCAAGTTCTACAGAAATCAAACCGAAACTGTAGGAGGAGTAGCATTTTGAAAATTGTTTACAGACAACAGTTTGCACAACAAACAAACAAAAGACACCTTGTCAATACACAAACTCTTCAGAAGTCTTTGAACAGTAGAGCAATTAGTGTGATGTTCGAGACAAAATTATGCAAAATTTGACAAATTATAAAACAAAATCAGTACATTTTTTTTCTCAACATATTCTACTACATGTATAAATAAATATGCGTAATGCAGAGGCTATACTAATTGTGACCTGTTTTCAATTTCTTCATCAGACCCAAATAAAATCATGCAAACACCTCAATCACACTGACTACTGATGATAAAGTAGAGCAAATACCATATAGACATAGTGCAGCTAAGTAACTTGTAATACATACACACTGCATTATGTAACTGTCATCTAACATAAATGGTAAGTACTTAAATATTTCAAAGGTCATCTACAATATTTCCAGAGATGCATACACATGTATCAGATTACTGTAACATTTCCTGATCAACAGCAGTTTACCTGATGTTTCAATGATTCACAATAATCAGACTATGGTTATGCTGATTCTTCTGTCTGAGTTTGGCACTTGTTGTAGAACAAAACTGCATTCTCATAATAGTCACTGCTTAACCAGAAGCATTGTAAAATATCCTCTACATCCCGTCTGTCAAAAAGGAAAGGAAAAGAGTTAAAATGAAGTTTCTATATTATTGTCATATTTTGATGCATTTCAATGAATTTAATTGATTTTGATCATGGAATTTCGAGCATATTATCTCATTGGAAAACTATTCAGTAATATATATTCAGAATAATAATTCAAACATATTCATTTAATCTTTGGAATTATACAGACACTCTGAATTTCTAATACATTGTAATAGGAAACAGAAAAACTTACATTGTTCCATCACAGAATTTGATGTTAATTTTCTCCCCTATAATTCCTGCCACCCAGCCTGGAAGGTACACATGTTGGTGACTGTCCCACATAGCTAGAACATGGTCCCCCACAGACAGGGGGTGATGCTTGGTGAAAACTCCAAATATATGATGAGAGGTCTGTGTGGCCTGCTCCCCATCACACCATTCTAATACATATTCCCTGCCATTACCAACTCTATCCTTTACAGAAGCTGAAAGATAGGATTTTTTAAAACATGATTTTCAACTTTGAATTTTGATGTCGTATATAATAAAAACAAATCTCAATTGGGTTGCAGTTTAATCTGTATTCCCTGAAAGAGGCGTTAGTGCTGAACAATTTACCTAAGTGGTAGCTTCCCATTCTGTCATCCCTAGCAACCACAGCTTGCCCCACCCATCGAGTCTCACATTGGACAATGTAATTCACATCATGTTCAAACTTTTCTGGTGTCAATTTATAAATTTCCTCTCTTGGAAGTTTGTCTTCTTCTCCATCATAGAATCGGACTTTCATTTGTAAGTTCTGATAGACCTCCAACACAATTCCTGGTGCGTAACTGAAACTGTAGTGAGGGTGAAGGGCCACAACGGGATCTTTTGGCTATTGCAAAAAAAAATGTCATTTTACCAGTAAACTTCAGCAATAAAAGATCTAATTCACAACAGTTTATACAATCATTTTTGTGTGTGTGTGTTTTACAATACCTGAATGACTTGATTGGCATCATCATAATCAGTGATTATATCTTCTCTCCATATTCTCTCACACATTCTTGTGCTGTCTTCAATAATGTAACTAAAGTCATTGCAATCCTGTTTAACAACACCTGTAATATTTTCAAAGTAAAAATGTCCATTATTATTGCACCTTATTACAGAAAGAAAAGGATCTTGTGTATTTATCAAATCATATTTTCTTTGGAGAGTGTTCTTTTTCAATGAGGATAAGTATTATGACAAAAATAGAACTGATCCTCTCCCCACCTCTGAAGTACCAGCCCTCATCAGACCAGCGAGCCATAACCTCCTCCCCCTCCCTCAGACATGGCAGTGTTTTCCTCAACCTCAGAAGGCCAGAGGTGACTTCATGGCCCTGTACTGACGATGGAGAATCTGAAATCGGATAAAATATATATAAGGTTAAATATAGCACAATTACCTGGTATATATAATATATGTAAAATTAAAGATTGAATTGTACAAGTAAATTGTGCTATCTGAATATACAAGTGTCTACATATAAAAAGGCACTGAATAGGGAACCACAATGCATGGAAGAAAAAATTATGAAAGCATTACAATAATTTTAATTTTGGGGCAATGAAATGTATAGACTTATCAATTTTCAAAAGATAAATGTTGTAAATAACATACATAGCTGTGGTATATTTTAGGATTTACAAAAATCTACAGCTTTCTTTTGAACTACTGTATAATTTTTACCTGGTCTCTCCTTCACTTTACTGTCGTCCGAGTCCTCGGAATCCTCCACCTCTATTACAGCAGAACGGTTACTGGATTTAACTGACTTCTCATACTTTTTCTTCTTCTTAAGTTTCTTCTTCATTTTCTTCAATTTCTTTGCTTGCTTTTGAATTTTCTAGAGAATGTGAAATTTTTGGAGAAATGAAGATAAGTATTTCTCTTTACAAGGAAAAATGATCCCAAATTTGGTTGAAAACTAATATTTTATATATATATATAAATTAAAACATACCTGTTGCTGTACTTCAAATTGTTCTTGTTGCTCTTTCAGTTGCTTTTTGAGTTGCTTAAGTTTCTTGCTTTTCTTATTTAATCTCTCCATGCTTTCTGACCTGCTTTTTAGATTGATAGGGGACTGAGACCTTGAACTTTCACTACTCCTTGATCTGGATCGTGATTTAGATGACCTTGAATTTGATCTTGATCTTTTATCTCTTTCTCCTGAATATGAACGTGACCTTGACCTGCTTCTAGATCTTGACCTAGATCTTGACCTTGACCTGCTTCTAGAATTTGATCTTGATACTCTTGGTGTTGGAGTCGGTGATCTTGATCTATAAATCAGTAAATACAGTAAAGGCATCATCAATCACATAAAATGGACTGTCAATTGTAATTCATATCTATGTGCATGTATACAATACAAAAAGCCAATATTCATGAGCATGACATCAGTAGATACAATAATTTATTTAGCTGAGTCTTTCTAAAACTCTCTCTCTCTGTTTCATAGCATGGCTTATGAATATTAACATAAAATACATTTATCCCCAGGATTTAAAATACTCTTGGTTTATAGGTGAGAATACATGTAGCTGATTAAAAATTCCTTTAAAGTTTATTGACTTGAAAAACTTTCCTCAAAACAAATAATCAAGGTTGATAAAAATGAATATAGACGAATTAAATAATCAACTAATATCCACCCCAAAAATTAAAGTGTATCTAGATGTTGTTAACACTTTTTTAATTTCAAGAGCAAAAATTAAATTCATTATTTTAAAAGAAACATATTATGTCACCAATTTGTAATAAATTTCAATGTCATTCAATATTCAGTTCATATATCTAGTTCCCTACAGAGGTAGCTTTTTCTTAAATGTTTTTAGTAAAAGTGAAAATTTTTTGGCAAACCTTGAAGCTTCCTCCTCAGGGAGTGGAGACATTGTTTTGCCGGTCCTTGCTGTGTTAGGGGTAGGGGCTGGGGGTCGAGCACTGGCTGGTCTCTCACTTGTCACAGAATTCTGTTCAGTAGGAGGGCCACTCTCAGTCTGGTCAACAACAGAAATTTCAACTTCTGGTGAGGGAGAGGCTTTCCTCTCTCTGAAATACAAAAGATAACTTTATACAATTGTGATGTACACTGTACAACATCCTGAGAATAAAACTGTTACCGGTAATTTACTGTATACATTATCTTTATAAACTGGAGAAGCCATTTATCTTCTTTATTCTATATCATCAGATTTCCTTCACCAGCATTAAATACAGAACTGCTAGAAGAGTTATTGTCCTTTGATTGTGTTATACATGTAACTGTACCTTTCTCTATGTTCCCTTCTTCCTCTTCTTTCTTTATCACTGGGTCTGGCTGATCGTGGAGTCTTCACATAAACATGGTCATCAAAGCTGTAAGTAGCAAATACTTTGTTATTTATATGTACATTAATAACAAATGAAACTGGAAGCACTTGTCCATTTGCTGAGAATATATTTATGTGTGAGAAGCTCTAGCAATGAATATTTCTTTTCAGTGACAGCTAGAATGAATAAGTGAGTAGCTGTACTTGAAGCTCATATGTGAAAATTTGATCACATGCTGCAACTCTAAAATATCATTGTGTAGACATATTATCATGGCTTACCTCCCTTGGTTCTGCATCTGAATTTCTGCAATGTAGCGGATCGCAAACTCAAATCTGGACTTGCTGATTTTCATGACATAATTTCTCATTACTGTTGCCTATCATAGAAAATTCATGAAAATTATGGACATACATATTTTTCTGATTATATCTTATATGATCTACAAGAGTATATAGAAGAAGACATGCATGCTGATTCCTTTCTACATTCAGCAATGCAATTTAACGTACCTGTTGACCATTGTACATCATCACTGTATAGAATTTGGCCTGTGCAGTCTCATCTTGAGGAAGAACCTGTACAATTCCAGGGGCATAGCACTCTAGTTTTGAGTCTGAATTAATGACTCTCACCAAAACACAATCTCCAATCTGAAATAAGAGATTTCATGTTTTATACCTGTCCTCAGAATGACAATTTTCTTTATTAGGAAAGCAGTTACATGTATCATACCCTGAGATGAGGTCTAGCAATGGCACCACTGGTTGCTATCATTAGTCTGGTGGGTGTGAGGACCTGTTCTTTGTCTTCGAACTCGACCAATGCATGCCTGGTGTCAGGGCATTTTACAACAGTTCCTAAAAAAAATAGTAATTGTTTATCAACAGGCATTATTTACCAAGTAATAGAAAAATGACAATGCGTAGCAAATTTTGGAGGGACTATATTTACAAAATAATTTGGGTTTCAAGTGAAATACATTAACAAATGGACATATAAATGGAGTTTCCAAGTCATGGATTCCTGATTGTATAGGACTACAGATAAAAAACGATTGATTTTTTTTTCTGGATCATGTGACAAGACCAGTAACACATCCAATGCTTAAATAAATTTTAAAACATTTCATGGAAATACAACTGAGGATGAAAATGCTTTAGAACTCACCAGGATAATAGAGTCCATCCGAGTCCCTCCTGGCCACCACTGATTGACCTTTCAGTGTATCAAGGACTCGTCGTATGATGTTTTGTGGTAAATCTTTCTCTTGATCCATCAGAAGTTGGTTTTTGAGTTTGACTGGTTTTCTGTCCAGGCAGTTGTGACTTCTATGGCCCTGTTCAAAATCAATATAATCAATTTAATACTAATATAATGGCTTCTAGAGTTTCAAATTACTTTCAATTATTCATAAGAAATAATAAAATGTTCTTGTCATGCAATTTGCAAATGTATCATCAGTTTTACCTCATTTTTTTTATTTCAGTGTTACCTCTTAAGGGTCCTTTGTTTAATAATATTTTGTAATTATCTTAATTAAATACTTAAAAATTGTCAATCTTACACATAATTATGATAAAGATTCCACAAATATCATTAGTGAATCAATTAAATCACAAATTCAATATAAAATTCATAATTGATATGAAAGTCCAATGTCTATATTTTTCCTGTTCAATATATTTGACATTTAATACACAATCTAGTAACGGTAAACCAATTAATATAATTGAACCAAAATATAAATGATGATTATTTTGCATGCATGTAATGCATTATATTTATTAATAGTGAATGGTACAATAGCTAGTTTATAAAAATCCTTATTTTTTTCTTTCCATTAAAAATGCTGTACATGCATGCATTATATTCATAATAATAGAACTGTGATATTGTCCAATTACACTGTATAAATAGAAGTATATGGAGTGGTGACTTGCCTCAACCATACAGATTCCTTTACCTAGCTGAGGCTTCATGGAAACTTTAAAATTACCAGTATAAATATGAACGGTATGTACCATTTGATAAGAAAAGATGGCACTGCTTCAATATATATTTGAGGACACATGATACAAACAAAAAATGGGTTGCATATGGATTGGTGTATATATTTTTTGAATTATTTTGATTGTAAATGATGCATATATAATATATATCAAATCTCTAAAATATAACAAAAATTATAAACTAAAATCCTTTGATGTTCATTTTTTCCCCTTTTTGTCATTACTTTTAAAAATCTATATAATTTCTTGTTTACTTTATTGAACATTATTTAGAAGCATTGAATGAAAAATAAAACATCATGTGGCTAAACTTCCATATTCATTTACCAAACCATATAAATTAAGATATTAATTTATTTGTTATTTTCATGCATATATATATAGTTTTTAAAAAAGGTTTGTTCATATCATCTGTCCTTAATCTTAATTTAATTACATTATTAAATTATTTATATTATTAAAAATTTAGGCTTGTGTTTCACATTGAAATTATAAGATAACCGGAAGTTTCCATGTTCCCTCACTAGGATGTATGTGGACAGAAAAAAAATCATATGATTGTATGTATAAAGAAAGTTCTCTATGAACACATAGAATTTCTCCAATTATGTAATATACATTGTACACATAACACACTTTTCTCCAAAAAAGAAGTGGCACTGGGTATTAAAATTAAAATTTTCTATGTCATTAAATAGGAGAAGTCCACATCATGACTCTTTTAAAAAGAGGTCATGCACTTTTTTTTCTTTTTCATAAATATTAGTATGTAAAAATATATTCTTAATTACATTTCGATAAAACAAATGATTCTTATTACAGCAGCATATTTATGATTTAGATTAAAAAGCTTTATTTATTCCTTCAAATTGATCATTTTTCACTTGTTTTAAATTTTCATGCAGATTCAGTACTTTATATGTTGAGTTTTGAAAACCAAACAAGTGTGTGAGATAAAGAATTAGTGTTTAATCTTCCATTTTATATAACACAATAAATTTATTTTCTATAATATTTTGTGCTTCAATTATTTTACAGATGTATATAGCTATATATGTATATTCTAAGTATATAGAACAATTAGAAAACAAGAGAATTTCATAAGGTTTTGACAACCATCCACTTACCTAAAGACTCCTACTAGTGATATGAAATTAAGATAAAGAACAAATTTTTACATTTTGTAATCAGGAATTCGGAATAATATGCAATTTCAGGTGAATACTAAATTTTCACATTAAACAGAAGTTCATGGAAGTTTATTGGACATCAAAAAAGGTAAGAATTGACCAAAGAGCTGCATAAAATGGCCCAGCCCGCATGTCTATTCAAATATAATTAATGTCACCAAATGTCCAATTTTAACCCATACTAAGAAGATTTTATATTAGGAAACTAACAAGATAATGTTGTCATTTTAAAAGATATGTGGTCAGACAAGAGTCCAAATGATATTGGATGCATTTACATCTAAAATTGAAAAGTTAATTCTGTTTTTTTTTTTTTTAAGAAACTAACAGGGCCAAATAAGACCATTATTGAACCAGTATCTTCACACCTATAGAGTTGATCTTTCTTTGGTCATGAACTTTTAAATTAAAGGAGAATGACATGATGGATATGTTCTTAGTGGACAAAATCACAATACTTTGAACTTAACTATGCTTTTAAAAGAGCTTAATTTGGATAAAATTTGTTCATTTTCAAATTCCTCGAGAAAATCATCATTCCATTAGGAAATCACTGTTAGCTAGTACATGTTTCTCTTCCTCTGAATAAGGCCATCATTAATTTTTGTTTTGTTTGATGTACTCCAGCCCACATTTTTCAAGATGGATAGGTCTAAGGTATTTTTTTTTTTTTGTTTGTTTGTTTTTAATATTTCTAACACTTAAATAATCATCATATAAACCACTTAAAGGCTTAGAAATTTTAATTATATAAACAAATTAAACAATCTATTTCTGTAAGCCTTTTAATCTAAAAAGCATCTTAGAAAATTAATAAACCTAATAACTTTAAAAAGAATTCAATACAGATATTAATCTGTATAAATTTCACCCCCCCCCCCCCCCCAAAAAAAAAGAAGTACTGAAAAAAAAGATTGGATAGGGGCGATTGCAGTTCATCAAACAAATCATTTTTTATTGTTGGCCTGACTTTTTTTTTAACAGTTATGTACTACATGTATGCAAAATGAAACACTTTTATTTTCACAGATTGTCTGTGCCATGAAAAAGGCAAAACTATATTAAATCCAATTCAAAAAATATGACTAATATCTGAAATCTATGCTAATTAATAAACTGTTACAATCTTGACCCATGCATTTACTTGGCCTAATGGATCTTACTGATCAGTAAATATATCACTCTGTGGTAATTCATGCTTGTGTTCTACAGATAAATAGGGAATTAGTGCAAGTTACCACTATATTTCAAAGTTAACTAAATCAGCTACCCAATTTATTACCATCTTTATATTAAATATTAATGCTAGGAGAATACCTTATGAATTCACAGCAGTAATGCAATTATTTTCTGATTCACTGCAAGGAATATATGTATTAAATGTACAAAAAATAGCTGGTTTCCTTCAAAAATCCTGACTTTGAACTTATTTTTAAAAATAACTATGCTGGATATTTTTTAGTAAGTAATAAATGTCATTATCTTATGCAATGATGTATCAAATTACTCCTTGTTTATACCGCTAATTGTTTTATCATTAATGTTTGATAATAAGCACCAAACAGAATCAAATTCCACATCTTGACCTTTATTTGAATGGACAAAAGATGACTTAAGTATCATGTCACCATCTCAGATAACATTTCTCTAATAATGGTAAATGGTCTTATCATATGTTTAATATTGTTCTTGCGTAAGTGTCAACAAGGCTATACATTCTAAGACAACTGAGATTTTAAATGGAAAGAAAATCGTTAGAAATATTATACCTTTCATTTATAGGGCCAGTTATTGAATATTCAGACCTAGTCAGAGACAATATACCAAATGATCTATCTAGAGGCAGCTCATGTCACAAATTGTAAGTTTAAATGGTCTACATCAGGAGGTTGGGTGGGACATATATATACTAAAGAAGACAAGGACACAAAATAATGATATTCCATACTATGAAGCACAGAAGTGCTACTAACATATTTTTAATCTTCCTTGGTGCCTCTAAGAATTATTATGAAACATACCATTATTTAATTATTTCCCATGTAAGATGACTTCACTCCAATTCTCAATTAAAGTTCAATTTAAACCACTATGCACAGTCAATCATTTCTTCTCTCCACTAAAAAGCTTTGAAGCAGTCTTCCAATAAATGTACAAGAGAATCCTTCAATAATCAACTTTAAGGTTCATCGATACTCTGATAAGAGAGATAACTCTTACATGTAAGACTATTATTCCTCTATAAATTTGTCAAGTTGATTCGAAGTATCTTTTTTGTCTAATTTTGCCCAGCAAGCTTTGCTATAATTGTTTGTATTTTACTTAACAAATACATTTTTTGGGAAAATCATATGATAAGAATGAAAGAAACATTTTATATGAGTGAGCAGAGGGTTCATGAACTGTAAAACTTGTGCTTAAAATACAAAAATTCCTAAAACCCCAAAACATTTTTTTTATTCAGTGAAACCAAAGAACAGAATAGATACAAGCACGACTTAGACATAAGTGTAACACATAATATACCTCATTTATTTGCATGCTCTACATATGAACAATTTCTAAAACAAAGTAAGTTATTGACAAACAAGTTGATGAAACAAGAATGTCAGCAGTCTCGTTTAGGGTAAACTGATCTAGAGTCGGACATGATCTAGAGTCAGACAATTTTGATGCTATTTTTATCGGACTTCCAATAATGAATCCATCCTCTATCATGATCGACTGAATCAAGCAATTCTTAATCTATTAAGAGTTGTCTTTCTCTCTCAAAAGACGATATTGCAGTCTTTTTGACGTTTGACCCTCAAAAGCACTAATTACCGGGAAATTCGAAGATTGGCCTAGCAATATTTCGATCGATCAAACGTATGAAAGTTTTCACATCGTGTAAAAGAATTTAATTTGAAAGCTAGAATTACATGTATATTATGCACTAAACATTGTAAATACACAATATGTATAGTTTTTTGAAAATATTTTATTTTATTTCGAAGAATTCAAGTTCGGACGCAATGACTCAATTTGATATTGAGTCGGACAGTAAATTTTAGCAATTTTGATGCTAAGTCGGACACTGTCCGAGTTTTTATTAACCTTGTCACATAAATAATTGCTTGAAAAATATTATAAATTAA